CCGTATCACTAGCGGCGCGTCGGCGCTTCTTTGCCGGGCTGCGCATCTGGATTCCACGACCAACACGAGGGTGAGGCCGCTCCTCTCCGTTCTTCCACATGACATGCCAGATTAGGTGGCATGTCATGGTGTTTCCTGGGTAGTGGCCCGGCCGGACTCGGTCACAGAGGTAGACACTGTGCATGAAGAAGTACAATTAGTCAAAGTACGATTGCATAGGCCACTGTCACACTTACTACTTGTTACCGTCGCTGCATGCCTCGCAATAGAACCTCGTTGCACTGCGCTGGCCGACCTTCTGCTTGCGAATCGAGCAGACCTGGCACTGGTGCTGTTCCTCTTCCGAACACCTTCCCGGATTTCTGGGTCCACTCTGGAAACGCGGTCAATTTGTGGGCAGCTGATATCGAGGCCACATTTTGGTCGGAAGGTGCTGGAAAAAATGTCTGCATGATAATAAACGAGTCAGATACGATACAACATCTACCACATGATCACCGGCAAACATGTAGTATATACCTCATCAATGAAGTCAGCCGAAGTGACCTGCAAAAGCTGCGCCTGTAACTCTGCTAGAAACTCGGCATGATCAGCACCTTCACCAACCATTTTCCGAGCCTCACGGAAAATGATATAGGCATTCACGAGTGCCATGTCGACTAGGCCTAAGAAGACCGTCTTGTAGTACTTTCGAAAGCACACCGAGAGTTGCAGCGAATAGCGCTGTAGCCTTAGCTGGTCATGAATATCAACCCTGCCCATCCAGCGATGATAGTCGCGCATCGCTGATGGGCAGGGTATGGTTTCCTTTCTGCCGCCACGTAGATGCCGCCCTTCGATGGTACAGCAACAACAGCATAAGTTAGGAAGCCGTCGTCACTAAGACACGACCCAAAAGTAACTTACCGCAGGTTTCAATAGATGTACTGCTGCCAGTCGAGAGAAGGTAGACAGGAAGGCGGTCCCACCAAAGCATTACCTGTAGAAGATCGCAGCCCTTTGCGACGGCGATCGTGCTGGTCCCGCGGGGGATATGAGCTGGACGAGTTGCTGCTTTGGTCACGAGAGCTGGCGGAAACCCTTTCTTGTTTGGCTGTATAGTGCCAACCGTGTATACATTCCGAGCCAGGAGCTGCAAAGCTAGTTGGATCGACGTATAGAATCGATCCGTCACCACAGCGTGGTACACACCTTCTTCTGGGGCAGGAAGAACTTCATGCAGATTACGGATAAACGCTGCAGGGCCAGAGTTCGGGTCTGCTGAAAATCGGGTCGTCGATTGACCTCCGAGCTCGTCTGAGTGCTGGTTAGTCCCACAAAATACTTCCAGACTTCGATGCAGCACAATACAACATTCCAAACAATACAGAGGTAGACAAATACAACATGTGAGACTTAGCCAAAAAAAAATACTCCACGATGGAGGCCGTCAAACTACGCACCGTAGACAATACGCTGTGTCAGCACAGCATGTCATAAACAGTTTTGTGCCCCATTTGTGGGGCTTGTCCTTCATAAATTGCCTGGTCACGTTGTGACGACATCTTGATGGAATCATGGCCTCGTCGAACGACACAACGGGAGGGACGTTGTATCCCCTTGCAAACGTCTGCTGTAGCGTGCCCACTACGGAGCGGACTTTCCAGGCGCGGTCCGTTTCAGCTCTCGGGTCTGTGTTGTCGGTAAAATGCAGGTTTTGCATGATGCGCTCAAAGCGCGACTTCCCCACGAAGTCGCCAAATGTGCCTTTTGGGACAGCGCCTACCCGGGTCGTTACCCAGTGATCCGCAAAACGGCGCTTGTGAGGGACCAACATCCTCGCGATAAGGAGCCCGATACAATGCACAATGTGCTCTGGCTTTATGTCCTTGTGTTTCTTGGTCTCCCGCAACATCACAGCTTCCCTAGTCAACTCTGCATCATCAGCCACTCGCTTCGCATGTATTCTGTCGACCCGTCCATTGAGATGCTGATGATAGTATCGATTACTCTCAGTAGCTATCCGGCGCCAAAGCCGACGAGGTATGAAGAAGAAGAAGAGCTGTAATGGGGACTCGGCTACTTCAATCGCTGCCTCCGTTGGTCCATTGTCACCACTGTATAGACTCGTGTATGGTTCTGCTCGTTCAGGATGCGATGCGGTATCTAAACATCATACAACATATACCACATTAGTTTCATGTTGTATATACATCATCTCACAAACCTTACCAAACTCCCAGTTGTCTACTCGCATCTTCTTCAGAGCAGCATCATCCTGCGCGAGCGCTTGCATCTCGTCTTTTGTCAGCGTGTCCCAATTGTTTGTGGTTGTGTTCCAGTCACGTCGCAGCTTGCCGATAGCTGCCTGCAGACGTCGCTTCTCCAGCTCTCTTTGGGCTTTCCTCTTGTCACAATTGAGGAGCTCTGCACCGTCCAAACTACCATCACTATCACTTGAAAGAATTTCATCTGCATCTTCGCTGAGAAGATCGTCGTCCGTGTGCTTTGCAGACAAGTCCTGCTCCTCAATATACCAGTCATCCGAATCTTCGCCTTCGCCATCCAAGTCCGAGTTGAGAGCTCCATTATCATAATCTTCAACGGATACATTCATAGCTGGAGCGGAAGACGTGAGTGGCTCAGTCGTATCCATACTCAAAACCCTGTCCCAAAGTAGTTCACATCACGCGTCAATATACATCTTCTATGCGTTCACACATGCAGTATATATATCATCGCAGAAGCTACCTGGCCGTTTGATGTCTGGTTGGAGGCAGAACTGTGGCTTCGAGTGGTATTGGTGGTGATCTGAAACAACATAACATCAGATACAACATTTAAACAATTAGTTAATGTAGTATGCTCAGCATGTCGAGAATCACGTACTTTGATGCAGACAGCATACTCTCGTCGTCTGCATCTGAATCCTCAACTGGTTCAGCAAGGTGCGGACTGGCGGTTTTCTTCTGCTTCTTCGCTGCGGGAGACTTTGACGATTCCTTCCTCCTTGCTGCTGCTAGTGCTTTCAGCGCTGCTTGGCGTGCTTCAGCCCCGCTGCGTTCTTCGTCGACCACGTGCGCACGTTCCCTTGCTTTCTCGGCATCACGTCGTGCAGATATAGACTCCACACGGGCTACAGCTTCCATTTCTTTGAACGCGTTCCTTTCCTTCGCTAAAGCTTCGCGCTGGGCCTTGGTCATCTTCTTCTTCCCCTTTCAAGTTTTTTTCTCCGCTTTGGCCTTAGCTGCGAGACGAGCTGCCCGCAGCTTCTTTGCTGCTGCAATGTACGACGCCGTCTTTCCAACAGGTGGTCGGCTCGGAAGCGCCGGAATGGATTGCCCACGAGTCATAGCCGTCGTCGTCTGCCTTACCTTCGTCGCGGCCACCGTAGTCGTCTGCGTTGCCCCGCGGCCTCGTTCCCGAAGTCAGCATCCGTCTCCCTCTCTCGGTTCAGGTATGCTGTGTGTTGGGCAGTCAAGCGCACCCGATCCTCCGAGCTTTTGCCTTCCAGGCGGGCGAGGAACGCTTCTGACTCGCGACGCGTTTTGCGTCGGCCAACCATCTCTGGTCCCCGTTGCTTTTTCTCGAATGTGTGAAATCAGTGGATTACACGAGGCGGGAGTCAGCAACCTTTGTGACAAATCGGAGGAGTTTTGTGTGCGTGTTCTGTGCATTTTTCAGCCTAACCCTGTGCATTTCACTGTCTTTAACATGTTGTATATACAACATGTGGAAAAACAGGACCTGGCGCCCCTTTTGGTCACATGTCGTCAAATACAACCTATAAGTGCGGGGGGGGGGGTTAATGCATCGGGATATGGCTGAGTATTATCGACGTAAACATCGATCACACCCTTGCGTGTTCTCCAACGACCCCGCAAATTCACGAGGTCTTTTGAGATGCCACTTCTTGTTGCATACGTTGCTGCACCCTTACGGAGACTATGCGTTCCTAAATTGCCTGCCTTCAGCTTCTTGAAGGCTTCGTTATCGATCATATCGGTTAAGTATCGTCGTACATTGCGATCACCGTCTTTCAGATTGCCGTACAAATACTCTGAGCCTGCCACATTCGCTGTTGACTCAATGAACACGGCGAGATTAAGCAGAGCACACATCTTGGGGCCCATGCTGCCAAGTATAAGCTGCTTTGGGGAATCACGCTCTTCCCGTATGTTCTATGACCACCGCATTTGAAGAAGGAGCGTTGAAGGGTACTGAGTGTTAGGCGAGAAGTTAGTGAGCTGCAACTTCATCATGTCATCGATCTGAGCACAAATATGTCATTGAAGACTTAGCACACTGCCCACCATGTACGCTTTATCATTGCGCTCCTAGTGGGCTCGTACTAGTAGGAGTAGGTTTATGAATTCGTCAAGCTCCATGGGTCGGCGGGCTTTGGACTGAGATCCTTTGCGCCGAAAACCTCGAACTTCTTCACCCTCTTGACTAACTTATTCACTGCATCAGATTGGGTGGGGTTTCCACGTTCTGTTAGTGGATCCCATGCTGAATTAATGCGTGGCGTGAACGACGAAATGGCCTTCTTCGTGAACTCAAGAGTCGTCAAGCGGCGATGTATCGGCCTCATTTCATCACTTGGTTCTGAATCTCCGTACGTCTGCCTGTTCATCCAACGACACAAGTCCTCTGGTGTGATACGCAGTAGCGCCTCCGTCGTGAACGTGTGGTCCTTACTATACGAGACATTGTCCTTATAGGACATGAACTTGACGAGCTCGGGCTTGTAGCGGCTTGTCATGGTCTGGTTTCTTTGTTAAGTGTTTCTGCGTCCCATCATCGTGGTGCCTTCACTCTACGCCCGTGTAGCCAGGGACGACACGATATTTGTATACTGGCTCTCTGCAATGCAACCGTCTTGCTTTTTGTATTGACTACAGTTGCATAGCGCACCAGCGTCTGCTGTCGAGCAGGCTACAAAAGTAGCAGATGACACTGTGCACTATTGGCACGGTTCCAGCAGCAATTCTGGCTGACACCATGCCATCAGCCAATCAATGATCGACGATCTCCAACAATACAACCTCGGTTGCAAATGGCCGGTAATGAACTAGTGTAGTCGGAACAACCCGTTGGGGGGGGGCAGATATGCTTCGTCCCATTTAAGCTGAAGATGTGCAGTAGACATGACTGGCAGGCTTAATGAGACGAGGCATGCGGGATTTGTAAATCCCTCAGGGGGCATTCATATTTGGGTGGCGTTAATGCAGGAGCAGTGTGTTGTGCGGTAGCACCAGTGGGTTTATGAGACAAATGAGCAAATTCGAGATGGGAAGCCTGTTTTTAGAGTTTTAGAGATTTTCCCGTCATTCCCCAAATCGACCCGTAAATGGTAGGTGGAGCGTCCGTGCTGGTTAGAGTGGTGATGAACGCTGAATGAACATGTTGCTGTGCTTACCCGTGAGCCTAAAGCGACGAGAGTGAAGGATCTTGCGGTGGAGAAGCGCTGCTGGAGCGCCGCGCACGCTTGCTTGGGCTTCGAGACCAGCGACGAGAGATTGAGCGAGCAGCACGACGAGTCGAGGCACAAGATTCCTGCCATCGACATCGACACCGCCAAATGTAATCAGCCAAAGAACGAAGTGCCCTACCAGTTCAGTAAGCCCATGAGGAACAAAAAACTCTCGAACAAGGCCAGCAAAAAGATTGATCAAGCTCAGCGAAAGCTAGCGCTGCGCAAAGTTGCAAATTTGTGTGCGTCAAGCGCACCAGAGTATAGCGTAAAGGCTGAATAAATTAACGAGCTGCTTTCAGGTAGATATTGCTATAACGAGGTGCTTGTCGGTTGTTGGTACCGAGGCCATCGATGGCTTTCGACTGCTTAGCTTTCGCTACTGTCCTGGCTCTCTGCAACATCTATACAAACATCCATGCACAGTCTTGCTGTCAAGTATGGCAATACTGGCGTTGTTAGTCCATCATTTGCGGACTAAGGGAGGCGCAAAGTGGCGAACGCGTACAATGCTTTATTGCAAGCAAACACGGATAGAATCGGTATGATAAACTTCGGGGGAGCGCACTGGTTAGCCTACCACATAGATGTTCAAGCCCGAGCCTGCCGACTGTTTGATCCCCAGCAAGGCACAAATAAACTCAAAAAGCTGGAGAATATCATCAAGGAGGTTGTAGAACCGCTGCTACCGATGAACGTCGAGCTCAACTACTGCAAGTTTACCTAGTGTCTTCAAGAAGACAGCGACAACTGTGGACTGTGGTGCTTGATCGTACTGGAGCTGACACTTGCTCGTACTCCGTGGCACAAGGGCCTTTACAAGTCGGTGCCGTATCTTCGACTCCGATACTTGGGTATGTGCACGAACTACATTGACCAAAAACGCGATGGAAGATAAATTTCGAAATTTAGACATGTACTCTTAGTGGTGAGTGCTGTATAGCATGGATAGAACTACATAATATGAGCAAGATAAAAAACATGGCTTTGACTTCAATGTTTTTTTTCGGTAGGAGTAGCAAGAGCCTTAATGCAGCGTTAGGTTGCCTCTAAGCCCTCTATAATCTTATTTTTCATGGCATTGTAGAGTGTTTTTCCGGGAACGATGTCATGGTCTATGAATTCTCAAAATCACAAGAGCTCCTAAGAAAACAAGGCGCCATTTCATTAAGAATCACCACATTGGAGAGATTTGTACCGCACTCAAACGCTCTCGACGAGGGTCAACAAGAAATAAAATAATTACGCGGCTAGTATGTTTAGCGCTTTTATCGAACAGCAGGGAAAAGTGTGACCTGAATCGGAAGAGCCCCTCCCTGTAAAAAAAGAGACAAAAGGAGCAAACGTTAGAGAAACGTTAAAGGGGCTTAGAGCAACAATAAGGTCCAGAAACGCTGTGGTGATTAACGTTGTTCGTTCTTTTTTAGATCCTGCTGAATAGCACAACCCCAAACCATATTTCTGCATCATTAAATATCAGTCGTTTTTTTAGCCAAAATTTAATATCATTGTCAAGAGTCTGCTCGTTCCATGCTCCGCATGCGCGCTCTCTAGACCGCATAAGATTTGCAATGGTGTTCCTCGGAAACATGCGAATCGGCGACACCCTGTGATGTATGTCACTGGTTAGGCAAATTGCTTACCTGTAAAGAGCTCCACCGAGTAGCGATCGCGGTGTCTGGTGCTCACGAGACTCTTGTTCGCAAACCACGCAAGCCCCAGCTGACCCCTCGACTGAAAGACTATGGCCATGAAATGGCGTCGCAAGGTCTGAAGCCGGCTCGAATCCGCATGGACATGGCCAGACGGTACGGGCTATTGGAGGACGAGATGCCTACCCTGCGCGAAGTGCAATGGCTCATCACCCATTTCACCAAGAAGACGCTTCGTCAAAATGATTACCATGACGAGATCTCGGTTCAGATCGACCAACTAGCGTATGGAACCGATGTGTCCGGCACTCGTCCATTTTCCTTTGGTTGGGAGCGTGAGGTCTACGGTAAGCCTGACGTCGGTAGCGGCTCCGATGAAATCACTTTTTGATGGAGCTTAGCACGAAGCGCCTGTTGCGCAGTGCTGCCTGTGAGCCCGGGTCATTTGTGCTCCACATGAACGTCACCTTGAGGTTACACCAAATGTCGTACCCTGCCATCGTCTGTGGGGTCTCTGACAGATGTCGTTCCTTGCACCTGCTCACTCTGTTCATCAGCTCGCAGCGACTGGAGGAGATTTACACGAAAGCATTTTCGTCTCTCCGCAAAGGTTTCACCGCCGTGACAGGTCGACAGCTGCTGGTCAAGAAAATGCGGTAAGTCGAGTTTTTGTGTGGTTTCCGCCTATGTGTATATCATGTGTTTCAACCACGTGATGACCACGGCTCATGAGAAGCTAAAGGGCAAAGCGGAGGACCTGTCGAGCGGGTGATCGCTGACATTTACAACCTCCACTTCGTATCTTAAAGGAAGTGTATGACGAACAAATGAAGATTTTTCTGGAGAAGTGATCTCGCGAAGAGCAGCTGTCCAGGTTTCGGAGCTACTTCAACAACGTCTGAATGAAAAGTGTGTTCTGGCGGGCGGCGATGTTTTCACACACCTAGTGGGTATGCTACCACGATCAACCGCAATTATACTCTTCGGACCAAGCACAAGATTATGGGCCTTCTACAACTACTTGCAGATTGTTGTCGACATCATTCAGTTACGCCAAGAACACAACCCGACGCCTCGCAGCAGCTGAAAACTTCGGCTAAAGATTTTCGTCAGCGCGACCTCCTCCTGGACGTGACTGCAAAACGATCCAGCATTGATTTCTTGCTCGTTTCGCCCAACCCGGATGCTGTTCGTGTGCTGTCTCGTGGCTGCCACCGCGTATATCTGCCGGAGCTAGGATGCAGTCGCGAGGTGACATATGTGTCAGCCCAGATGGGGTCAAACTACGCCAGGATGGAGACAGAAGGCCAGCCAATGGGCAGGTGGAGCGTTGACGCGGAAACAATGTCATGCGGATGTAAGTACCACCTCAAGTTTGCTATTTGCTTCCATGCCCTATTTTATAAACAGGTAAAGGACTACCCTGGTTCAAACGGCCAAAGAACTCTGATCAACCATTCGGTCTCGAATAAAAACGGCGGCGTACGCGTACGGGTCGTACGCGCGTCCCGTCCGGTAGACCGGTGAGTAATGACCACGCACTCAGAGCTGAATGAGGGTATAACTACCTCAAGCAAAACTATCACTAATATATGTCCCGTGAGGTAGGAGAGAATGCGTCCTACTAGGAGTCCTAAAGTGTCCTATTGTTCTAACACCTGGGATAAAAAAGTAGCAATTCGGCTCATAAACAAACCCATATTTAGGACAACACAATGGGTTTTAGGACGAAACAAGCCAGGGTCCGCGTGTCCTAATAAAACACTCGACAACTGGACACTCAGTCTGTCCTAATAGGACAGACTGCAACTCAGACCACTGTCCTATTAGGACAACACCAAGCCCAACATGCACTGTCCTCAAGCCATATCCTCAACTGGCCTAGCTAGAAACAATAAACATCTTAAAGCCCCTCTCTCCAAGAGCAGCCGATTCTTTGTTGTGCGCGAAAAGCACCTCAACAAAACTTCTCTACTACAAAGTGTGTGACAATATTTTTAAAGTGTTTCAAAGGATGATAGTCATTGAAGGTAATAATAGCCGCTAATAACGGTTGAGCGACTTCAACATGCACAGCAAACGACGGTTAATAATCAGAACGTGACGACAAAGGGGGGGGGCTCAAAAAGCAGCAAAGTACTCGCAAGGGCTACTTGGCTGCAAGTCGATCCGAAGACGCGGTTTTAGCAAGCGATGGGGGTCTTGGTTAGCGCGGCGGTGTGCTCGGCCTGGTTCGTCAAGTTGTCTGGCGTCGTCGGGGTGTCGACAACAGGTGCGTTTGTGGCAGGCGAGTCCGGGCTGGGAGCCGACGTCGATGGGCAGTTGGACGGCACGTAGACTACCAGGTCGGCCTTCAGGTTGGAACCGACACCGACCGGCAGTTGGCACTCCTCCAGGTTCATGGCCTTCACGTCAGCGAGCAGGGTGTTGCAGGCAGTCGAGGCGCACATCTTGTCAATGGTGGCCTGGTCCGGGATCTCAGTGGTCCGTGCCGCACTGTTGAATGTTCGCGCTCGTAAGCAGAGCGGACAAGACACTGCTTCCGCAGGTGGCAGCAGAGGCCAGATAGGCGAGCGCCCTAGCTGCAGAAGGAGTAGCCGCAATGGTCCATAATGCTTGGCTGCAGTAGTGGAGATTCAGAAATGGTTGGTGTGCCCCAGGACAATAAGTAAAGCCAATGTGAGTTTTAAGTAACTCTTACGTAAATTTACGTAGATAGTCCGGAAAAAGTTAATATGTGAGGTTTAGGATAATCTGGAGGACACAAATTATAATATTCTGTAACGAAGGATTAGTCGCTTTTTAGGACACATCTCCAAAATCTCCCTGTAAAATTTAGGACAAATAGGACAGTTTAGGACGTGTCTTAGGACGCATTATCCTACACCTCCCGTGATACTTTCATTTCGCAGTTTTTTAGTAACTAAAATTGGAGCAGCCTAGCGTCAAATTACCCCCGTCTAAGTATATTAGAGAAGCGACAGTTACACGGCTTTGCTTACTTTTAATAGTACAACCGATCAATGCTTTAACGTGGCAAGTGCGATTAGCATCGAACAAGACCCCCCCCCAAGCATTTGTCAGTCAGGAGGAGCAACTTTCGTCAACGCGGATGGGGGCGCTTAGATGAGGCGGCTGTCCGGTACCTGATGAAACGGGGTTCATCCAACGAGGCGACGCCTCAAGTACAGAAGATACTATCAAGCGGCTGCTTGATGCGGTGCCACAAGCCCGCTTCACCAAGGCCCGTCTCATTAGAGCCGCCGCTCGTGGTGATGACGCTGGCAAAAGCGAATGGGTACTAGCTACTGGTGTGGACCGTCAAAGTCCTTCAAGTACCAGATGCGCACTATTCTAGACGACTGGCGACGGACAGGTCCTTTTTTACGTTACGGGAGCCAACTTGGGAGCCTACTGCTAACCGGACATCAAACGAGATCAAGACGTATTGGAAGCGAAAAAGAGCTGAAGTGGAGCGTGCGTTCATTGAAAAGGAAGCCGAGGAGGACTAATAAGAAATAAGCATGTAACTTAATAGCCGCTTTAAGATAATTTTATTTAGTCACATGCAACACCTAAGTTCTAATTTCGTTCTGGTCTTGCGTGATACAGGTGTTTCCTAGCGCCACAGCACCATCAGCTACAACTGTGTAAGGGCTATTTCTTCAATTCGCTCCGCACGAGCACTACTGCATTTGATCCACACTGTAGTATCGTAGGTGTCTTATGGCCCACGGCTGGAGGCGCGCATCGGCCCACCGAGCCAGCCATGATGTGGCCATGGCACGCCGCGTAGTAGCTCGTAGCGTCGAGGAAATAGTATTGGTCGGTAGTATCGGGGCGCCGCCGAGCCAGCCATGATGCGGCCGTCGTACGCCGCGCAATAGTCGGTAGTGTCTGCTTATCCTTGGCCGCGAAATGATTTATGAAGGGAATGGATTGCACTCGGGGAGCTATTTGGCTGTTAGTAAATGGCGGGTCGCGGGATGTATTCGAGTAACCATTGGTTACATACGGACCATCCTCTCCTTCGCTCTTTTTGCCCGCCCTCATGTTATGTGTGGCACGCAGACTT